GATAGAGCTTTTGAATAGTTCAATGCATTTACTATTTACTTATATACATCTTAAGAAATATAACTAGGATCAACATAAAGTTTATTTATGTACTCATATATTTTACTGGACGCACGCGCATGGAATAAACAAGTAGTAAAGTGGTAGGGGGGCCGAAAGAAGTTTTGAAAAAAAAAATCGAAACCTGTCCGTTTTCTCTATTAGGTGCATGGGGCAAAGTATCTCTGAAATCAAATCTTTAAATCTCGCTTTAAGCTGATTATGATTTTTTTAGTTACTTTGTAACTTTTGTTTCAAAAAACATACAATTGTAAGACTTATAAAGATTTAAAAATGCTAACTTCGCATAATTATAAAGTGCTCTCGCTACCATTAAAGAATAATTATTTTTATTTCACAAAAAATAATTCGTAAAAATTAGGAACACGGAACTATTTTATCTAGAAAAATCATAAATTAATCAGATAGAAACTGTATTTCATAAAAAAAAAATTATTGCGACAGTTTGAATATAGAATATTTCTTTAACTTTTTAGATGACCAACTATCATTTCGTGAAATAATTAACAGTCGTTACGAGAAAAAAAATTACTATTGCCAGATTATGTGTTAAGAAATTTTCCAAAATCATGGGAAAAAAAATTTCCGTTAAAATTAAATCTTAAGAAATACATAATAATAAAAAGAATTTTGTAACTTTTAAAAGTTTTGTATGACACAAAAATGTACTTTCTCTGAGTAAACATAATTTTTTTTTTAATGGATTTGGACTTCTGACCCCTTAAAATATAGGGGGTAGCCACAATCTGAGAAATATGGTTCCAAAGGTTTTAGCCTGTTTCGCTATAGATCGAGAAATTTTTAAGTGAATAGAAAATTTTTTACACACATATATAAAATTCGTTCATCCAAAGATGATTTCATGCGAAAAATAACTTTTAGAAAATATTTATTATTTTTTATTACTTTATTTAAAAATTGTCAATAAAATTTTGAATAGTAATGTATAGTAGAATTTTTTGCATCATTTTAAAGAATATAATTTTTCATGGCAAAATACAAACTTTAATCGAAATCAGTCGTTTAGTTCATGAAAAATTAAATTTTGAAAGAGTCAAATACTTAAAATTCAATTTCTCAGGAAATAATAGACCGATTTTGCTCAACTTAATTTGCGAAATAATCAAAAACTAAAGTTAAAATAAGAGGTCCAAACTTTCGACCGCTCTTCTGACCAAACTATTGGGACCGTATTTCCCAGATTGCGGCTACCCCTATATTTTGAGAGTCAGGAATCCGAATCAGGCGAAAAAATAGTATGTTTATTCAGAAAAGGCTACGTTTTTGTGTCTGATTGCGTAACGTACAATATCATCTGCACTTATTAATTAGCACTGTTGAGGTAATCTCCTTCAGCCATTAGAAATGAGTCCTAGAACGCGAAAATCCGATGATTAGAACAAAAGTTATTTAGGATGATCCTTTTTTTTTCTAGTTCACTCACTGTACATGATGCGCCTTTTTAATTGGCTATGATTTTATAACTGGGGAAATACACTGCTTCTATGGGAATTAATAAATCGTTTGCTTTAAAATTATTTGACAATGAGACAAATGAAAACTTAGAATAGGTAATATGGTACTGGGATAAAGTCGTGAAACTACTAACGGTTTCACTATGTTTTTGCAGTTTTAGTTAAAACAAATTGAAAATATTGCGAGTAAGTAGAGTGTTTAAATATTCACAACAAAAATATAAACCAAGTATATAATATAAATTATAATTCCTTAATATAATAAAATAAAAATATAATTATGTGAAATAATAAATAAAAAAACTCATGTAAAATTTTTTAAACTACAATCTAAAGAATTAAATATAAAATGATAACAATAAATTAAACAATTAATATTTAAATTCATAATATTAATTAAAAATAACTAAAAAACAGGATATGTCTTCATCCGTTACTTTGGTAACTATTTGCCGCTATGGAACACATCTAACCCAAAATTTGAGTTAAGATCGAAATTTAAAGCAGTTTTTTATCTTAATGTCGTCATGTGAAAACATTTTATCGAATCATGTGTATCAAATTATTTTATTTTGTGAGTTCTTTGAATGCCGGTTAAATTCTTATATTCAAATCCGTTGTTGAAATCTTAACACTAAATTTTTTTCCTAAATGAAAAAACAGTTAAAAAATAACACCACCATTTTTATCATAATATTCTATAAAACAAACAATCAAACCTTAGCCATTGTTTTTTCTTATAGCAATGGTTAGTTTTTACACTTTTTGTTTCATTTAAGGTGACACGGTGATCTTTTACGTAAACAGATATGAAATTTTTTAGAAAAAATTATTAATTTTTTTGGCTTAATTTTGTAATGAATGCCAGTTTCAAGGAATTTCTATTGTATAAAGATAGATAATAATAAAAAAGTACAAAAATTATCCTTAGAAGAAAGTCTTCAAATTTTTCTAAATATAGATATTCATTTTTTTTAGTTCAGAAGTATGTAAAACAAAAAAAAATTACTTTTGATGCATTTTTTTCTACAAAATTATGCATTTCGATGCATTTAAATCACTAAAAAAAAAATTTGTAATGATTATTTCAACAAAAAATCTAAAGAAATCTTTTAAATTATTATGAAGATTTTATATCAAACTGTCAGGAAATGTAATAAAAAACTAACTCGTGAGGATCAAAATAAATAAAATATTAAGAAAACATAAAATATTTTGAAAAAAAAGGCTAACTTTTTAGAGCAAACTGAAGCAAGATTGTCAATGTAGTTGTTATCGCAATATGTATAGATATTGTTAACACGAAAAATAAATTAAGATTTCTATTAGAAATCAAGTAAAAAAATGAAATGCGCTAAGACCAGTGAAATTTAGATTCCACATAATATATCATTAAATTGCAACATATTACCATTAATCATTTAAAAAATTTAACTTTATCGGTCGCGAACAGCATGCTGATTAAATCACTATGATTAATAAATAAAAATTTAAAATAAGAACATTGTCACAATTCGCGAATAAAATTAACGAAATGATTTCGACAATATATTACTTTGATACTATTCTTTCTAGACCTTATCAATTTTTTTAAAGATAAAAACTCAGTTTACATTACATTATTTTGAGTCAGAGCTCTGCATGTAAATTGCATTTTAAATTTTTTAAAAGATAACATACACTTCTTAAATCAAAAACATGTAAGATATAACACAAGCTAAATAACAAAAAATGGAGAAATTTAACACTCTTAAATATTCCAAAAGCGTTTTAAAAAATCGCAAAGCACTTTAAAAGTAACTAGTAAAACATTTGGTGACTAATTTACATATTGAATAAGGAAAGAAAGAAAACGATAAATTCCGTTTAATTAAATTAAAATGAAGAAGAAAAAAATTGTTATTCAAATAGTGGCAAAATTATATAATATGTAATTAAGATAAAGATAGCATCAATATTTTGGAATTTCTTGATAGTTGGCTAAAAAATCGTCTAGTTACAGTGATCAATGGGTGCTATGTTACGGCATATTAAAAACCAAATTAATTTTAATGTACTATCTTCATCACAGAGTTTTTTAGTTTTTTTTGTTAATTTAAATACTAAGATGAATAAACAAGATATTGAACGCGTGATGTACAAGCAGACGATATAACTCAAGAGTGAAAGATGGGTTATCACTGTGGGGTAGATGCTTCATGTCTTTGAACCATGACGGGAAAGAGGCATGTGGTTTCAGAACTGACACCCGCTGGTACCTGACAAATAAGGTGAAGCCGCTGTCAAATGTCAAGCAGCCTTAAGGTATAATGAATAGCCAAAAGTTGAATGTTTTTAAAAGGAATTGTCGCTTTTGGGAATGGACCCTGTTGAGTATATTATTGTCTTTGCTATTATTTCTCGCTGTTTGTTTTTAGGAGATGGCTAACCACTGAAGATGCAGAGTTAATGAACGATGCAAAAACGAATATTAATTTGAATCACGAAAAAAATAAGTCCATGAAACTGAAACAACTTTAATTTCAAATATATACACTGAGAAAAAAAAAGTATGCTCGAAACTACAAGAATATGGTAAAATAAACTGTGTTACCGGCTCTATGAGAACACCAAATATCTCGGTAATTTTCACCGAAGAACTTTGGTAATGATTTTGGTAAAATCAGCAATAGCATTTGGTTTTATAATGTGAGATAAAATTTTATAAATGTGCTAAAATCGGGTAATTTTATCATGATACCTTAGAGCATGGCATAAAAAACATTCATTTGGTTAAATTTACTTTTCGGTTTTGTATCTTTTACTAAATGTCGGGTAAACAACTATAATTTTGAAAACTAGAATTTCCGGTAAACCGTGACCTTATGAACAGAAACATATGAAATGAAAGGTTTAAGTTTGGTTTTTATAATCAGAATTATGGCTTTTTTTTTTTCAACCTGAAATATCAGTATCTTACAGCAGTAGTAATTTTACCATAATTTTTTGCTCCAAGTAGTTAGACAGTTTTTTTTTAATTAATTGACATGCTAGGATTAGTTTGAAGTTTAAGGAAAGTAACGTTGAATATATTATAAAAATAGATTTTTAGGTGGTAAATCTTGTCATAAGTTAATTTTTCAGTGTTCGAGTTAGTCGTTCAGATTTTTCAAGCATAATTAATCTTACTTTAAATGAGTCGAACTTCTATTGCCATGTTTTGTTAAATACAGTCGCAGTAAATGGCAACAAATAATAATAAATGGAGATTATTCTACATATTACGATTTTTATGTTATATGCTTTTTTGTACATGATTTAGCAGGGTTAACAGGGTTCCCGATTTATTGATTATTTGCAATTTTTTCCCTTGCGTATCAAGACTTGATATTCAATTAGTTGGTAATAAAATAAGTGATATATGTAATAAATATGATTTACATTAATGAAAATATTATAAATATAAAAATAAAAATATCGACTTACCATTGGAGATTTTGGGCACAAATCATTTAACTTTTGAAGGTTAATTTCGAGTTCTCTTTGATCAGTTGCTAGAGCTACTAATGATATCTGAAATAAAAGATAATACAGCTATTACTCAATTATAAATTAAGAGATGATTAAAATGAACCAAAAAGAGAACTGTTGAATGTTAGCTGCATAAATAGGAAGGTAATAGAATTTGAAAAAAATAAAATCAATATAAAAATAGATCAAACCTTATTAAGTAGTCATGCAATAGTTTTTTTTTTTTTTTTTTTTTGCATATGGGTGATTCTCACGAAATGCGACAATTGATAGACTTTTGCTCCAAGATCTACTACTATATACTACTAATAGAACTTTTTGTAAAAAAAATTTATAAATAGCATTGCTGTTAGCATTTTAAAATGACTTTGCATTAGCATGGACTATTTTGTATATTTAAAAAATTTAATTAAATTTCAAAATTTCATTTTCCTGGTATGTCACAAACAATATTTCCAATAATAACTAGCTTCAAAACTGCCCACAAAAAATTTTCAATATCTAATTTTTTTTGTCTCAACCGTTGTAAGCATTTCTTGAATAAATGCAAAAGGTATTATTTCCAAAAATTTTCTTGAAAATAATTTTTTCTGTCATTAATTTGTTTCTCACATAAAAATCAGTCCTTTTCCTGGCAACTTTTTTTTAGTAATTTATAACCACAATAGAGAGCACCAGCAATAAATATCTTAGGTTAAAAGATTGATTAGAACATTCTATCAGAACATGTCTTATTTCAATTTAATAATTTAGGTTCAATTTAGTAATTTAGTTTCAATAGTTTCAATTTAGTAATTTAGGTAAAATAATTCAGATTTAAATAATTTAGGTAAATTTGAAATTAAAATATGGTTTGATAATCTCAGATGATATTTGGTAACTCAATTTTGATACATTTGATCATGGCATGAAAACTATTTATTGGTAAAATTTACTTTTCAGTTTTGTATATTTTACCAAATGTGTGGTACTATAATTTTGAAAATCCGATTTTCCGGTTACCGCATAAATGGAAAAATTATGAAATGCATGATTTAAATGTCGTTTATTTTAGTTAATTAAGGTTTTTGTACCAGAAATGGCATTACCATACCGTACAGTAATTTTATCAAACTTTTTTTTTCTTCGTGTTTAAATAATTTAAATTTAAAAACATAAATAATGGCCTAGTATTCAAATATTTATTTAAAAAAAAGCCTAATGATTTATAATAAAACTAAATGACGTAGTAAACTTTGATGCTCATTAAGCTTCGGAAACTTTATATAAATTCATCTTAGATGTCCTTGTCAACATATATCGTTGATGTGGCAACTAAAGTTCATAAAGATTTAAAAGAATTAAAGGGTAATTTCATCTAGTTAATGTGTATATGATAAAATAACTAACCAGCTAATTAAAATACTGAACAGCAAAATGTTTAATAGACATGTGTCAGTATAAAATTATGAGAAACACATGTTCCTATTTTTTCTCTCCATGTAATACATAACAGAAGCCATCCCACTAAAATATATGCAATAAAATATGAATCTAAATAATCTGTGGGGGAAAATACGTATATTAATTTAAAGAATTGAAATAATGTAGCAGATCAATTAAAAAATAAAAATTGCATTTATTGAAACTATTCTAAACTAAAAATTTTATTCGAAAACAATCTTATTTAAAAATTCATTATATGCATACCTAGTGGATTTTAAAAACCATAGTATACATTCACATAAAACGAAATTGAATAATGAAGTTTTAAATTAAGACAATTAACAGTGTTGAAAAACCAATTATGCGCTCCGCAATAAATTTACTCCCATTGAATCAAAAAGAAAAATATAATTTATTTATTTTCCATCTCATGTTACTTCAAGCACGTGCGATTTATTCAATTACCCCATCCTAGGCAAATACATCTCGTACATGATAATGATTTAATAACCTGTTTTACTTAAATTATTTTCTCGCTACCTGAAGCCGGTGGTGCGTTTAAATTCTCAAAGCATCCACAATACGCCAGACAAAACGCAAACTCACCGCCGCATACCTTTTTAACACCACCGTTCATACATAATCATACAAAATATTGACTCTCTCCGAGCAATATGCCGACCTCATATTTTGCATCAAAAATTCTTATTCTCTCAACGATCTCATTCCTTTCCTAGTCCTCCAGGGATGAAATAAAAATATAAAAAACCATCTTTTTCTTTTTTTACCCCTTTCTTTTACTTGGCGAGAAAATTCAGTTTGGTGAATTCATTTTCCATGGTCAATCAAGTCTTTGGTCGTGGAGATAAACACTATCAGCAATTAAAGTTCAAGCCGCTTCACGGAGATCTTCTGGAGCGATTGGGAGTGGCTGAATGTCCCATTAAAAAGGCAAAGTAATTAATATCAGCCAAATCCTCATCGGGTTTGGATTAGGCTCGTGTTTGAGATACGCGGTTGGGGCTACAGAGGAGTGAGTGTGCGTTTGCATGAGTTTCTTCACCTCCGAATGCTTCGAATATTCACATTTAGCTTATCTGTCTTATGTTGTCTTCCGTGTTAGTCGTTTTATTTTTTGGCGTTGATTTAATTATGTGTCTACATGGGGGAAACAAGGATGAGCGGAAAGCAAATTTGGTTATTTGATTAATTTGATGTATTAGTGTCATTAAATAATTAATTAAAAATCGCATAACGAGCTGAAAGCTATTTGTTTTAGTGAAGACTGCTGATATATTCAAAATATTTGCTTTACATTTAATAAATAATTGTATTTTGAAAATTTTTTCTAATAAGCTGTTTATAATTAAATTAGTTTTATAGTTTTATACTGTAAAAACATGTCTGTTAAATTTGTAGGAAGATAAAAAACACTGCTAGTATAAAACCGTTTATTTCACAGGAAAATGTTGTTGTTTAAAAACGGAAGCCTGTTTTCTTGGCCAATAAGTGTTGTTATTTTAGCAAACAAACTCTGCTATTAAAAAAAATCTATAAACTATAACTGCGAAAATCTATATCTATAACTACGACGGGATTGTGGTCGTTGGGAGCAGAATTTGTACTACGACTCAAAGTCGGAATTGGAAGTCGGGTCATCTCAGTGGGAGGCGAAAGCTCTGTCTTCAGTTCTAATGTTTGGTTATAACAAAACAAAAAAAACAAAAAACTTTATCTGCCTTCATCTTCGAAGTCTTACTCATTAAAATCACAATTAAGTTTTAAAATATTTAAAACTTTATTGACCCTACTCCTTTATAAAAATGTCTCGGAATTTAATTTGCCGAAAAATTAGATCGAAAGACAGATAATAATCAGGTAGAGTATCAATTTAACAATAAAGTCGACTCGTAATTTTATTTATACGATGTTCAAAACCATGAAATAATTGCTGAAAGTAAAAGCAAGCATAGAATATAATTGTAAAAAGATTTGAAAAAAAAACATAATAAAGTCATCTTACTATAAAACAAAACTGCATAGCAAAAACTAGAACTTGAACTGTTTTAATCCGCTTATGACTAGGGTGAAAACAGAAAAAAATTCTTTTGTGAAAAATAGTTTTAAATCGTTAAATATACAGAAAAAATCTGTAAAAAAAGTTTTTTATTATTTATTTATTTATTTGCAGAGCGAGAGTAACGATTAATCAGTATTTTTCTTTAAACAGTTTTTTTTATAAATTTTTTTTATATCATTTAGTTATTTATTTTACACTGTAATAGTTGCAAAAAATAACATATAAAAAAAGAAATAGAATAAAATAACTTTTTAAGGAAAATTTGAATAGAAGTTCGAAAAATATTGCTTAGGAAACGCACAATAAAAGGAAAAAAAATGCAAGGAAAAAAATTGCAAAAAAAGAAAAAAAGTATCCTCTAGATTTAAATTTTAAGAACGCTTAACATGTTTAATTTAAAATTTACTAAGAGGATCCTAATTGAGCAATGCATAATTTTACATTAATAAGGTAATTAACTGTATTAAAATATTAAGCAATAACTAAACTTGAATGGTAAGATGTTTTAGTTGACGACTTAAATTTGCTGCAGTTTTACTCCATATTTCTTTACGATGCAAAAAAAAGAAAAAAACTACCCTCTAGATTTAAGTTTTAAGAACGCTGAATATTAAACATGTTTAATTTAAAATTTATTAAGAGGAGCCTAATTGAGCAATGCATATTTTTACATTAATAAGATAATTAACTGCATTAAAATATTAAGCAAATAACTAAACTTGAATGGTAAGACGTTTTAGTTGAAAACTTAAATTTGCTGCAGTTTTACTCCATATTTCTTTACGAGTTATATAAGATTATTCGAAAATTTCTCACTTCAAATTTAATGCAAGCTTATTTTTGTAAGCTGTTCAGCTCGCCAAATACAACAAAAATCGATAATGAGCTTTAGAAAAGCAATTATTTTTTTCCAACGCTGTTGTTCTAGTACTTTTATCGAACTTTTTTAATTAGTTTTTTTATTATAATTTCCTTTAATGAAAGGTGTGAATTGACGGGAAGTTCATTCTCACGAAATACAATAAGAAAGCTTTGTATAAAAAAAACATAACGTCTCTAGTGTGGTCGATCTGATCTTTCAGAAAGAAAAAAAAATTAGTAGGTTTTTCATCGTAAGATGAAACAGCGTTTTGCTTTGAACAAACAAGATAATATCTTTTTAAAGAGCAATATTTTGTAAAGAATCAATTAGTGTCTTTGCAAAGGTTCGATTGTTCTATAAGTGTGGGCGTATATTAACTCGTTTCACTTCGACGAGTTTTTTTCGTAAACTTAATCCTGCTTTTGAATTATTGATTAATAAATGAAAAAAAAGCGTTATGATTAAAAGTGTTCGCACTCCCTATTTGTCATACAGCAGTACATCTTATACGGACAAAAATGATATGTTCGAATTTATTCGTTAATCAAGTTTTTTGTTGATTTCAATAGTTGGGGTTTCCTGGGTTGTTATTTCCCTGCAGTGAAAGAGTAAGATCTTAACACTGTAAAAAATACCGGATTAAACTACGGTAAAAAGTACCGGCATTTAGGGTGC